TCATAAACAGATTTTTCCTCGACACCACCACCGGTGATGGGAGCTTTCACTCGAGGAAAAAAGAAAAAAAAAAAAAAAAAAAAAAAAAGAGACGGTGGGGGTGATAATTTGTTGGCGTGGGTGCAGCAGCTTCCCTCGGTATATATATAGAACTAAGCTGGGCTCCGCGCGGCGCCCCAAATGCGCGAAATCCCGCCCAAGTGGGCATGCAGGCGCGCCTCATTGTTTCCTTGTTTGCCAGGTGTTTCGAGTACTTACACACACACACACACACTAGCGTCGAGTAGCGGGAGCGACTGCGCGTGTGTACGCAATGCGCGGATGAAGGTGGAGGAGGGAAGTCGGCGGCTCAACGGAGCCACAGGGCGACCTAATGCTCTTTTATTGTGCATTGTGTGTGGGCATAAGCATCAGACCCAAGAATGACGGGGGGGGGGAGGTATATAGGAGAGCTCGAACCGATGTGTGGGACGGCACACACGTACGCCCGTACTACTTGCTCCCGTACATACAAGTACATCATATAGACATCATTGTACACGTACAACCGTGAGGATGAGGAGGGAGCCAGAGACTTTTGCTCGCTCGTCGAGTTTTAATGCCGTTGTGGGTGTGCGCGCCTGCTTATAATACATATACAGGTATTGGTAAACTTCAACCTCCACCACCGCACGATTTCCTCTCGCGATGTGTGTATATATATGTACACTCACACCGGTGCCCTTCGCCCTTTTCTTTTCTATTATATCTCCGTTTGTCGTGTGTACGTTAGCTTTTTGGTCAGCTTATTTGCCCCGTCGTCCGTGATACAAATATTCGCCAGCAATTACAAGCTAAATCAGGGGTTGGCTATTCGTATACGAGTGTGTTTGACGAGGTGGCACTCGAAGGCGATTGTAGTACAAAAACTCGCGGCGAATTTCATCGGCGGATCGATAAAATACAACATCCGAGCTATTCATGGGATTCTGCATGTGTGGAAGAGAGGGGCTGATTTTATCCGTTTTTTTTCTTTTTTTTTTTTTTTTTTTTTTTTTGCTTTTTATCTTTGCAAACTTGGTAAAGCATCGGCGATTTATCATCTCAAGGTTAATGCAATGACGAGTACACGAGGTGTATACGGTTGGTGTGACGACGGGGCCAATCGAAAAGAAAGAAGAAAAAAAAAAACGCCCCAATGACCAGACAGTTGTGACAAAACAAGGGAAAGAAGCACGACCAAGGAGAGAATAGACGAAGCCGCGCCAAAACGCGGGGAGCCATTATATACCTTCATCCCGCCAGTACATATTAGATTATATACATAGCAATGGCACACGTCGTAAAATAAGACACACACGCTAGCACATACGTTTCGAAGACGAGAGAAAAAAAAAAACGGCTCCTCGGTTGCGGTAAATCGGAGGCGCGAAAGTGGGCAACTTTGCAAAAGACGCAAAGCCCGCGCTATATATATATATATATATATATAAGCATTCTTCGCAAGAGCCGCGTATATTACGTACATTGTGCACCGTCGAAAAATACCTCGAGGCCGTAGTCTCCTCCTCACTCTTTATACCGACCCTCCTTTTTTTTCTTTCTTTTTCTTTCGCCTCCACATTCGACACACACACACACGCGCGCGCGCGTTGCATATACAACGTACGTGTATAGGTATAGGAGAAAGGGAGACAAGCGTCATCATCCTTTGGGGGACTCGGGAGCGTAAGAAAGACGCGAGAGGGCACGGAAGAAGAGTATATAAGAAAAAAGTAAATCCTTTGGAACAGAAGGAGGGTGGCGGTGGTGGTTGGCAGAGCCCGGAAGAAAGGAGGACGACTGTTTGTGCGTTATACAGTGCGGCAGAGAGTCACTACTGCTATGTGTGTGTGTGTGTGTGTGTGTACTTCGGCTCGCTTAACCCCACCCCCCACCCTGCCACCCCCTACCCCCGCGGGTCTCTTTACAAGCTTCCCTTTGGGGGCGGGATATTTACCAACATCCAAGATGGCGGCGTAATCTTTCAAGCTCTGCTCTCTCACTCTCCGTCCGCCGCGAAAGTCGACGAGTCGTCTCTGCTTTGCCGAGGCGCTTGACTGTGTATGGAAGTAAGACAGAGCCTTGGCTTTGAGTTTACGTCCCGCGGATGGGAGCCTCGGAGGAGGCATCGTCGGTAAAGTATTTGCACGCGCTTCGAATAAGCGTGGAAATTACACTTGTTCCGGGTGGGGGGGGGAATGGATTTTCAACTTTTGTTTTTCGGCAAATTTCTCAGCCGAAGAGTACGGATAGTCGGCGATTCGGTTGGATCGTTCCCGGTGATTGGTTTTCTTTTTTCTTTTTTTTTTTTTTTTTACCTTGCGTGATGGAAAACGGAGAGAGCTTTCATTGTCGCATTGTCTTTCCCCCGTAGGATCTTTAGGGTGCACGGCCTGTAACTCTGATGATGAGCGTTTTGGGTCTGTGAGGCCTTCATTGTCCAAACTTCAATGACTTCGTGCACTGATGTGTATATACATACGTACGAAAGAGCTCTCTCGAGGTGTCGAGTGCGAGGGCTCATTTGTTGCAATCGTGGGAATTTTGCTTTGTTCGTCCAATTTGAATTTTTACGATAACGCGATATCACAGGAAACAGGATTTTTGTCGGGCTGGGATATGAGCTCTTCAAAATTTAACAAGTTTTCGTTCCGATTTTTGTAGTCTTCGCGTAATGTTTGTCAACTATGACGAGGCCACCCGACACTTGCAACCAAACACATCAAAGAATGTTTCAATTAAAAATGTCACACAATGGATGAATCTGAAAACAAAACAACAAAAAACAAACAGATGGTTCCAAAAAGGATTGTTATGATGTGATGTCGGTGACATTG